TATTGAGCCAGAGCGAAGGATACACGCCGCTAGATCGATAAGTCGGCGGTCTCTGATCGCTATCTCGTTACAGTGTTATCTAGTGGCAAAGTAGGAAAACGCAGTTCACCAGTACCTAACACTGTAACCGTCTGACCAGAGCCATTATGTCTGACTGTACATTTGAATAGATAGGATAAATACAGAAAAGTTTTGCAATCAAAGTTAAAAGTGTACAAAACAATGAGAGAGGTTCGCCAAAACATTGGCAAATATTGCCATGCTCTGAGTCTCTGAAAGCAGCGTGATTGAATGCTGTTGTTATGCTAAAAGCTGAAATCAGAAAACACTGTCGTTCACTAATTTTACCCCTATAAGTAAGTATGGATGGGCGAAATGTATCTTACTCTATATAGCAACGGTGGGCAAACCGCGAATTTTTATGCGGCTCTTCTCGCTGGCAATAATTTTGTATTATCCAAATTTAACTAAGAGAAACTGTAGCGTAACAATTTTTTTTAATTCATTAAGTGGTCGTAAAATATATTTTGCTATATTGTTTCTATTCGTTTGTGTGAAGTTTTTTTCAGTTCACGATATTCTATTATTATTAGTTTCAAAAATTATGCGGCTGTCACATATTTCTGATTTGCTGCATATGGCTCATATACTGAAAAAAATTGCCTACCCCTGCCATATAGCAATTCCATAAAATTGCAAATTACGCCACAAAATCGAAAATTTCCGAAATTTACAATATCTCAAAACTTGAGACTGTGGCACTGCATTTACCAATTTAAGAAGTAAAGGAGGTAGGCTATGACACACCGTACTGATGTATTCCTTTTGTACTTTGTATTTTTGGGTCTTTACGAAATAATAATACAGACATTTGGTAAATTTTTTTTTGGAAACCAAAAAGTCTTTGCAGTAATCCAATAATTGTTCGAGTAGAATTTTCGAATGAGTCCCAATATGTGTAAACCCACGGTTCTATCATTACATTGGTTAATGGCGTTCCATTTCGAATATTCCACAATAGCGTGTGATGAGGACATTGCGCCTGTTAACAATGTGATGCTTCATCTACTTTCCCAATGGCAAGGCAAACATGAAATTTGTAAAGTCACCCTGTATTTCCATGTGAAATTCTACCTTTTAAAATTCTCTGGATAACTTCAAGATGTAGTGAGTGAGCTGTCGGTATAGATCAGCGATTTTCAATCGGGAGGAATTCTTCCCCAGGCGGGAATTTCATCGTTCTTGGGGCGGAATTTGGATCTGTATTTGCTATAGCTATATTGCTACTAAAATTCTTTAGTTTTTTCAATATTGCTATATTATTTATTTATACACACATTATAAACTACTTGAACAGTACAAAAGCGAGGGAGCGACTTGTGCATAACACTAGATAATGATCTATTGAAGATTGAATAATTAAAGTAGTTTTTATGCATAGTGAGGGGGAATAGAATAGAGTTCCAAAAGAGGCGAAGGGAGGAATCAGCTTAAACTCAGACTAGAGCTCTCAAGAGAAATAAACCAGTAGTCCGGATACATCAATCTTTGTTAAATCTTTCTGAAAAAGAAAGTCAAACAGTATTGGAACGTTTACTCTGCCTAGTGATACTAAATAATCCGGCGATTTACGCCGATTAACAACATTGAAGTGCATTCTGCAAAATCCAGATCGTTAATCAATTTGGATTGTAAAGTTTATTTGATATCAACTAAGCACCCAATGCATATGTACCATCATTCGTGGTGGTTGGCGCTTCGTATTTAGATATCTGTGTTTGTGGTTGGCGCTTTAACTATGTTTTTTCAGTCCAACGTTTGAATGGTTGAATCAAACAGAGTAACAATATCTTGAACGATTGTTGGGTTTTGGGATACGGTAAACATAATGGATCTGAGCCCATCTCTGTAATATATACTTAAAATCGATTTATAAGATTTGTTTTATTTTTTTTCAAAACAAAATGATAAGTAAAAAAAATTTCGATTCACCACAATGACAAACTTAAAAATAAAAAAAATGTGATTTTCCTAATGCGAGCATAAAAAGCGAACTGGGAATCTTGATACAAAATACAGATGATTTAAAGAAGACGGTTCTAAAATATCATCGCGATAGACAATATCTGTATGAATCATTGGAAAAGCATAGAAATTCATCAAGAACTAGAAATATTTTGGAGGTTGGACGGCCTTGTAGCTACTTCAGAGGCTCAGTGTATACGGCGGTCTATTACTCATAACTAATAACTCATAAACTGTGCGAAACTAAATTGAATTTTGGCAATTGAGTGTGTAGTAATATTTCACAGCATCACATACACCGAGATTTAAGTTATCTTGGTTTCGGGAAATAATTAATAATGCCATAGGGGAAAGTGGAGAAGGTTGGGATACTTTTTTCTTTTGCATCTTTTGAGCCTTATACCCTGCACAATCATTTGTCATTGCGGGGCTAATGCAGAGAGGGGTAAATGTTATTTATTCAGCGACTAAGTAATTCCATGAGAACACCCATCTTACGACCAAAATGCTTTAAAAAAAGTTTGTCAAGTGTCCCAATGAAACTTCCATTCTTGACGATGGCTGTTTTTGGTTAAAAAGACCATAAACATCAAACACGTTTTTGGACTGAGTGCTGTTCAAAAATAACAACGAGTATATTTTTTTCAGTCACTAAACTGTTCCCTGCGTCCAATAAACAACGACAACGCTGCTATTTCTTCTTCAACTAATAGACCCAATATTATACATACACTCACCCAAAGACATAAAAATTGTTTGCATATTATTTTCTGTCAACTGCTGTTTTGATTCAAAACAAATAATCTCTAAATTTAAACTGCTGAATTTGCAAGCTTATCTCTTCGACTGCGTCATGCATATACGGGAAACTAGGTTGTAATTCTTTAAGATTGTCTCTTATTTCATCAGATTTCGACCTTACTCCTATGACAAATGTTTGCATGAATTCTGTCGGCGAAACGGCGTTGTTTCGACTTCCGAAATGGATATTATGACGTCATAGCAAATGACACCAGAAATCAGTCAAGGTATTTATTATTCAGTGATGTCCAATTCAAAATTAATATCCAAATTTATTCGAATATTGCGACTCTCAAATATCGTTTTTAGTGTTTATAAGAATATTGAATATCGCGCACAAGTCCTAGCGCCGCCGTCCACGTTTTAATTGAAAACATTTCCCAAATATACCATTTTTTATGTTTTATCGTAATCGGAGACACTCTTTGCGACGCGCAATAAATGACTGCCGACATGAAATGATTCAAGTCAGCGCCGACTTGCAGTATTTATAACACATCGGGGAAGTTTTTGATTGAAAATATTTCAACATTGTCGAGATAGTCTGTGTTAGCGCGGCAATAAATATAAAATCAAATTTTGTCGTAATTAATCTTTTTTATCCTTCGTTTCGATAGTGACCGAGCATTTCTTGCATTTACCTCATATGAAATAGCTCTTAAATATTATTTAGTATCTATCGCAGATTTTATTGTTAGCCTGCCGTCGTTAATAATAATATCGTTCAGTTTAAGTTTGTGGTAATAATTTAAAAACAATAATGAAAGCACAACAGTCGACATGAAGTATTTAAATCAGAGCTGCCCTTGAGAAAAATAAAACACGATTTTCAGTCTCAATTCTCCGTCATTGGCGGATGGAAATTTGTGAATCGGGTCCACTCATTTGATTACGACGATGATCGCGTTATAAGCAAAATAAAAATCAATTCCCCCCAGTAGCACAACAGTCAATATTTGTGGGAAGGGATAATTGTGGCCGAATTTAGTTGAACGATGTCGATGTCACGCTGACAATAAACAGTCAGTGAGTTAATGTTAATTTTACTGAATAATTTAAAACATTTCTCTGGGCGCCTGTTTTTTTTTTCTGTGCTTAGCAAGATAGGCCACAATTCATGACTACTGTAATGTTTATTAAGTCCATTTCCCTAGAGCAAAAATAACTAATTTCACTCATCATGAAAGCCCATTTCCTATGTTCCTGGAGTTTAGAATGTATTCGGAATTCAGATTAAAAAATATTTTTTACAATGGATCACGAGGATCTGTAGCGTCGCATAAAGTAGAAAATGAGCATTGATACGTTGAGAGCCCCATATGCTATGTTGTCTGTGAGCCCCATCTCTAACAATGACGTAATTCGTATTATTCTGGTGTCATTTGGTCACTGCTTTGTCATTAAGCAGAAAGCCTCGTGGAATTATCATCATCGGTTCATGCTCACGAATTAGTCACCAGTGCTTCCTTTTTGTGGTTTTAATTCTGGAAAATATGTGCCATTGTCCATTATATATACATTGAATTCGTTGGGTAATATTGGTGACATGTTTTACTGTCTATGACAAACGTGTGTTTCTTTTCGAAACACCAGTGTTTCGAAAATGCCCAGCTCTACTTGCTGGTTAATCGAGGTTATGCCTAAGAGTGCATCGCATCGGGACCGCCATGGCAAGTCCGAGCCAACTGATACGCATACTTTTTATTCAAAACTTCGACTTAGGTTGACATTGTGAACTTCAAAATACGTGTGACGATCTAGCAGTAGATCTCAGTCACTCAAGACCTGGTCATCTATTCTAGACGAAAAGATTCGACTAACCACAGGGGAGACCTACCAATTGTGGAACACGATCTACGGCAGAATAATCCTGCGCCAAAAACGAAAATTTACCGCGCTGTTGCATTGATAATTTCGAACAGCCCGTGTTAATATTATCAGTGTATAAGATACGATTACATTGGCATGAAAACAAGAGGTTTTTGTAGTCGATGGGACTCGTACTAATCTGTTTCAGTGTTGCTTATGAAATTCTACTACTTACGACTGGGGATGTGGGGGTCGAATTTTAGCATGTTTTCACGTGATCCAGAGTGAAATTCTGAATTCGCCATGGCAGTCGAGGTAGAACATGTTAAAACCTCTTAATGGCACTTGAAAAAGCATTAATTTTATTAGTGTTCTCAATAGCATATTAGCCAGTAGTTTATTTCTTCATATACGGAAAATACAGAGTGAGAGAGTACACAGAGAGCGAAGATAATCAAAAAATGGTATCAAACGCAATAAACGCGAGGTGCGGTAGATCAAAGATTTGGTGAGAGAGATTGTATAAGCCCCCAAAGTTAGGATAACATTTTGCTTAACCTATGAAACAAAAAAACGGGACATGACAATTGACAAACCTTGCCCTTTGTATGGACCGTCTTCGTTAACAAAAAGACAATATTGTACCGTATTGAATCCTTTCAGAGGCCGTCTTATAGTTTTTATTGATACAATGCTAGAGTATACAGTTGCCAATAAAATTTCCTTAAAGCCTTTGTTTCAGCAAACTTCTAGAAAAAGGACAAAGAACCTGAATTTGAAGACTTGTCTAAAGAAATATCGGATTTGACTGGTATCATTTAAATTTCAGGCAATACTTGAGTCTCTATCCTGGGTAGAGATATGACAATACTTTGCGGCTAAACTATACCTAAGCATAGATGGCCACCGTTGCAATTAAATTGAACCCATTGGGACAGTGGCCGATGTTCACAGCACTAGGCAAAAGATTGGCTGGTAATTCACGTTCCATTGTATAGATACTAGGTTATGGATACCTTTACCATCTCTTTCTGAGGAAAAGCATGTTCGTTTCAGTTTTGTATATACTATATAACATAATAGCTGCATAAAGAACAAGAATATAAAATTACAAAGTGCATTGTTCAGTGAAGAGACACGGGACTGCGACATATATCATATTACTGCCTGCTGTCATATATTAGCGAAGAGTCGTCTATCACTAACACCACCAAGTTCATGTATATTTCAGGGACTGTAACAATATAAGTGTTATGGTGGTTCCTGTCCTATTCAGCCAGTTAGGGCACGAAGCTGCCGTTCAATCTCATCATCTGTTACATTCGAAGCAGAAGGATCATTTTGTGAAGGTCTGGCAGCATTTGCCAATTTACCAGTCATGTCTATACCAATTTCATCCAATACTTGGCTAATAATAGAATCTTGTGCTTCCTCATCTCCAGACTCATTCAAAACTTCATCCATTGTATCATTAATCATTTCTTCAGACATTTCCATTTTTGAATTTTCCATTTCAAACTGTTGCATTGTTCTCTGCATTTTTTGAGGATCCATTTGCTTATTCATGGCTGTCATAGTCTTTGTGGTAGCTCCCATAGCGTTGGCCATCTTCATGTTCGCATTCATTGTTTTAGCTTGAACGCCTATTGACGTGATCTGTGAACTGGTCGCGTACATTCTTGTTTTCTGTTTCCTTAGGGCAACCAATTGTTTTGCAAGTACTGCACATGCTTGCTTGTTACCTTGTTTTGCGGCTTTTTTAATTTCCATTTCTAGTTTTTTTTCCTCCCTTTCCAATTTTACTCGATCCCTGTCTATACCACGATTTGTTCTCCGCAGTTCACGGTCTTGTTCCTTCATTTTTTGCTCAACCGTTTTCTTCTTGAACATTGTTTAAGTTATTGTTTAATGATATCTGATAAAAAAAAATACAAAAGTTTTGACTTTGACAAAGTTCATGTTGATCAAGACTTCTCTTTGATTGTCTGTTGGGAATGTTTACTCAACTTATTATCTTCAATAAAAGTTTGAAAATTTGACTCTAGATAATTTAAAATTTGACTACGGTAGGTATGAATATAAGACTTAATATTCAGAACTGTGAGATTGTGTGTTCAGGAAATACACTAATATTACCTAGATTGCAGTGAGTTATTCAGTTTTGGTCATTCACAGGTACTTCCTTAGTATGTGATCCAAGATGGCGGACATCGGAACGTAGTATGTGTACCAGGTTAGGGTTAGGCCATAATTTCAGGTGCAAATATTACGGGAGTCACTTGGCTAGTCCCAGAGTAATAGAACTAAAATAAAAAAAATTGGAATAAAGTTATGGCCCAATCCTAACCTGGTACACATACTATGTTCCGGTGTCCGCCATCTTGTTTCATGTACCACGGGAGTAACCATTTACATAGATTATTTTATTAGCTCATATCCATACAAATGAAAAAAGTTCCTGATACTGATATATCAGTATATCTCAAATGTGAACCGGTTTCTGAGTTTGTGCAAAATCTAATGAAAAATGTTTTAAAAATTAGTTTATTGCACCATCACACCACTGATTACATTGAATGCAGGAATAGGATAGCAGGAATAGGATTACATATCTATCCAGAGGAAAGGAAAGCCGATAAGATAGCTTAACCAAATGGCGAACCATTGCCTCTAGTTTCCATGTCGAGTATGGGCAGATGGGATTAGTTAGTTATTTGTTTTTAAGGGAGCATGGACTGGATAGTGGAGGAAGCTGTAACCGACCAGTGGTTACGTGAACCACCCTACGGTGGTGAGGAGTCCAGCAATCCTCTCGCACATAACAATCCCTGCATGGGATTCGAACCTGCAAACCCACTCAGAGTAATCAGAGGTGCGGTGACAAGCGTATTCCTAACGCTTAGCACTATGAGCCACACAGCCGCGCGGAATGACCAAATTGTCTATTCTGTCAAAATTCGTTCAAACACCTGAACACTGGAATAGATTTTCGTGTGCCATTCCAAGCAAAAGTTGAATTTCATCAATTTTTTTAAAAGTCTAGTGAACGTAATTTCTTTATAATTTTTACATCAAAAGACGTCGGAATTTTATTGGACTACATTCATTTCACTGAAAAAGTTAAAATTTCACCCAGGTTTCTGATGGTTTATAAAAAATGGCCTGAAATGTAGAAATTTTGATATAATTGATATATTTTGTGATGATTTGTGACACAAAGTGTTGATTGTGTGATACAGTTATTTCATATGAAATAGACGCACTGGATTTAAGTTAATAAAGTTTAAATGTTTGCAGTGTTGTAGGACACTTCTTCGCCCATTTAACGATTTATTACCAGAATTTTAAGAGATGATAGAGGCCGCTGTTCCAAAGTCCTGTAGTGAAAAATGTCCTGTAGTGTCACATACAATATGCACATTATTGGCATGGATTTACAGTGTTACATTAAGTAACTTGAGGGTCATTCGGCTACTGCACCAGAAAATATTATGGGCTCCTGCTGTACCATCGCAAAAATTTACAGCACAACATAATGCACTGTTAATGCATAGTGGATTTGCCGTCCTATAGTGTCACGCTATATTTTTTGTATCTACTAAGTAAGTCTTGGAAGTAAAAAATTTTCCATATTCAATAAAGCAACTGATTGGACAATGAAACAAAACATGTAGCTGAAAACGTAAAATCATATTGCATCTAACAACATGCAAAATTTATGGAAATGTCCTGTAGTGTCATTTGGAATAGCCCCCGTACGTTACCAGAGTGCATACCGGTACCGGTACACAGATCAGGGTTGCCAGATCCCAGCGATGAAAAAACGCCAAATCAGGATATAAAAAAAGCCAGAAAAAGCCAAAAATTTTACTAAGTACAAAAACCCCATAATTTGTCAGATTTTAAGCTCTTGGAACAATACTGATGATGATGTAGAGCCATCAGTTCATTCAGTGCGCCACACAATTGTCTTTTCCCATTGAAAGGTGTTTTTTCGGTTGCTATCATGGCGATTTCCACTTCAGCGGGATGAAGGGTTTATAAGTAAAAAGGATTATTTGAACGAAAGAACCAGAATCGACATTCAACACAACACAATCAAGCTGACATCTATATGAAACAATTTAAAAAAATCAAAAAACCAAATAAAAATTAAAGCGAACAGCATTATTTTACCATTCAATATATACAATACAGGGTTTATTTTAGAATTTATAGACCATCAATTTTATTAAAAATTATCTAACCACGTATCGCTTACAGGTGGACTACTAATAGCTAATTCAGTAATTTTACTGTAGTTAATCACATCGTTCGTGAGACAAAATTTTCATTAGCCTACTGCAATTTACCTAAAGCTCCACATCGGGCATAATGGAAATTAAGTTATATAACCATTTTTGGAAACGGAACTTAAAACTGACAAACAACACGCAAAACTATAAAAACGAGGCAATGTTTACAACCCTGCTTGAACATCTGTCTGAACGGCAGCAGAAACTGCAAGTAACTCTTATTGGGTAGGTATGGTTAAGCGTTAAGGCAATAAACTGGGAAATCGACGCTCGGGGAAAGCCTAATGTTAAGTACCATACCAGTACCGGTAATACTGTAATAGGATAATGTTACACACTACATATTGTATTTCATATGATTTTAATAATAGACACTAGACTGGATTTGAAAAAAGCCAAAAAGCCAAACGGAAATTCTGACGCCAAACGTGTTTGAAAAAAGCCAAAAATGGCAGATTTGGCGTTAAAAAAGCCAATCTGGCAACCCTGACACAGATACAGCCATAGGCTACGGTACATGTCTGCAGACTGCACGTCAGTTTGTACAAAAAAATTCAGTGATTTGTTCGTCAGAATGGGTCAATCTACAGATCAAAAACTTACCGGTACCAAAGACGTACACGGCTACGTTAGACTAATTCAGTAATTACGGTACCGGTACCCGCCATAGACTTGAAAACCGAGATGCCATACCGGTACCGAGGTCTGAAGGTACGGTGCCGTACTCACTGAGATAAGCTAGGGCGGTCGGATACGGGTACGGTAGCCTTTAGGCTACATATTTACGGTATTTTTCTGCTAAGCATCTGCAAAAGTAAGATTTCTCAAATATCAACACGACGGCTAGAGAGTCCAGGAGGCGGTGGACAATCAGACAATAACAAACTAAGTACGGTACGTAGCGGTACAGCTAAACTGGACGAATGTCGGATTGAAACCACAAAGATGAACATATCAGGGCCGATTTACCGCTGTCATGTGACCGCGTGACGCTTGGATCATCATTGAAAAGCGTCACGAGATAATGAGTTGGGTTCATTGGTTGGGTCCAATGACATTAAACAACATGATGCGCAACTCCGGCATTTTTGTCCGAAGATCGTATTCGATAGCACGCTCCAATGCACATACTTGACGAGACGAAAACGAGCGGATGTGTGCTGTATTCAAGGCGTAGCACGAATGGTGTTCGTGCCTGCTTCGACAGTTGTTGTCGATTTTAATGATATTTTGGAAAGTTAAGGTAAAAAGAAATCGGAAAAAGGTAAGGTAAATATTATTGTGGTATATCACACCCGGGCATCGCACTGTTAAGTACATGTGGGAAAGCCAGCCTTTGTCAAATACTACGAAGTTATTAATTCAGTACGGTACGTAGTTGCCCATTTGCCAAATTACATATTTACTTACCCCTTATGCCTGGTTTCAAAAAGTTCATGCACCTCCAGTTAGATTTTTTTAATCAGTGAGGATATTTACTCATTGTTGATTGCTGCTCATTGTAACATACTATTGCGCATTCACTTATATTTGCGTATTGAATCAAAGTGTTAACAAGTTCACCTAACATTTCACTCACACCGGTCTATCTTGTATAGTCTGATCTCTCAAGTATTTGAAGCCGCGAATGCTTGTAATTTTCTGACTAAACCCTTTTAATAGTTGGTTTATATACCAAATTCAGTAAAATATGAGATATTGGATTTATTAGCTTTTCCATTCTAAATCATATAGACTGCTTTATTTATTCTTAACGAAAATTAATAAATCTCCTCTCTTTCTTCAGATGTGAAAGTTGTGGACAAACCTGTCTAAGCATTGTGAGACTCCTGCAGCACAAGAGGCAATAGCAGAAATAGTAAGTATATCAATCAAGAAATTAAGCCGACATAAAGCAAAACTTTCAACTATTCGTCTAATCTTAATTTCCTATTATTTATTCACAGGACAACTATAGCAGAAGGGGAGATATCAGAAGTCTGGCGACATATCAGTGACAGTGTGATTCCAAGAAATATAATTAGAGTACTCCATAAATGTTTGCAATAGAAAAACAACCTATGGAGGCATGCAAAGACATTTGACCCTCCGGTAGAGTTGTGTATGGCCCCCACATCCTGCAGGGCTTGAGGAAAAGAACTAAAAATTCTAAAGCGTAAGATTGCATAAGCGGTCTTATTTGTAAAAAGGCACATAACACGCCAGACATACTTAAAACAGCTTTGGAAAATGAGGATTACGGGTAACGCACTGCACCTGTGTTATATTTGGTTCATCAACTTTTGGTAGTACTATAGAAGAAATTACGGAAGGGGTATATTCATCGTTTATGATAAAATACTATCATATATTTTTTGGACAACTTCAATCTAGACCAGGGATCTCAAACTCGCGGCCCCAGAAAACTTCCAATGCGGCCCTCGAACGCTTAACAATAATTGTAATAGTATTTTGGAAGTTTTTTTTTATCTAAATGTAATAGATTTTTCAAACCTTTTAAGTGAGATTGATTATCCACACAGAAAACAGTTTACTGAAAGTAGTTTTGGAATATTAATTTTTTTTGTCCACATTTTGACCCAATTAAGAATACACATCAAGCTAGCAAAAGAATACTTGAATAAAACACTTGAGTGATTAAATTAAACGCAAAGTACATGAAGAAGGTGGCATTTTCGAAGAAAATGGGAGTTGCAATATTTCTGCTTTCCACAAAATTTTGAAGCACATTGTTTAATTTGTCATATTTCCATCAATACAATGAAAAAACACAATAAGCTCAGAGGTCAATATGACAAATTCGGAGACCAACTTCGAACAGAAAATTTCCATGTGTTTGTATATTAATATAATTATACAACGACTTGGTTACTAAAAATCAATATCAATAATAATTCAAGCAATCCTATGCCACGCAATGTGGTGCGAAATGTCTTGTCGAAAAAATCTGTCATTTGTTTTTTTACTGATCTATACATGAAATG